TGGCGAAACATCGAATTAAAATTGTGTTGTATTAATATATAGTAAGTCAACATATGTTCGTTCTAGCTCTAAATTTAACCCATTAGATTAGAAGTCCAACGCCTCAAACACTCGACCATCACAGCCGCTTTTCAAGCTATTTAAAACGAAACAGGCTTATGTGGTGTTCTCCTCGCGATGACGCGTGCCGAATGTTTCGATTCAAAATGGAGCGTTGGCAAGTACCGTAAAGGATTAGAATTCATTAATTATGAATGCTTGTCCTTTTCTACATTCTGACCACGTTAATATGACTCATAGTTCTGGAATTTCAAACCGGGATTAGTTGCAAGTTTCAAAAAGTCCAATAAATTCTTTCAAATGATAATGGAACACGACGGACGCTTTAAGCAACAAGATTCCTTTTCAGAAAATTGTCTATTCAATTTGGACACGGTTATTTTCTTGCAATACATACAATTTTGATACGAAAAACTGCGTGAATAATAACTTCGTTTTTTTTTGGTAGGAAAGTAACGATTCGGTTAACTATACAGAAATACATTTGTGTAAGTGAATGCAGCAGAACTCTTGAATTTCATAGTGCTGTTACAGTCAATCAAATCTTTTGTAATTTATACAGCTCATTCATAGTAGAGTGTTTACGAACTTAGAATTCAGTGTTTGAAGATATCAACATTTTTTCTAATATTGTAATTGTTTTCTTCAAAGCTGATCTTCTTTTAATAGATATATTCTCGGAATCCTTTAATCTCAATTACTGAGTTTTCTTATATTAATAAATTTCACAGTGTAGCCGTTCGAAGACTATTATTGGAGATCATGCTCTGCTTTAAAAAAAATTGCTTAAGGCAGAGTCACGCACACTCAGAAGTGATCTCTGAACAAATTTACTGATGACCTCTGACATGCCAACAGCTACGTTCCTCGTATTTGACGAAAGTAACTACTGTTTATATAAGTAATAATTAATTTAAATGTGCTCAGATGATTCGAAAAGTCAATTATTCGCGATATTTTAAATGTTTGTCGGTATTCTGACTCCCGTATTGTTGTTCCGCGTCGGAGTGTCTGTCCTTGTTAATTATAACCGTGAAGTCGGAGTCAATATTAGGATCTTTCTGACATCAGAACCGGAATTCCAAATCCGCCAATTCGAAGGTTGCAGTCGTAATTCCAATTGAACAAAATTTTGTGTTTAGAATTTTGTTATTCTGTAGTCGTTAGGTGAAGTTGGAGTCTATTTTTTCAAATTTCAGATCCGGATTGGTGGTTTTGTTAATAATCGAAAGAGCGCTTCTCCTACCATATATACACATTTATGATTTAAATCTGAGAACTACGCAATATAAATTAATAGTGTCGTCAAATTGATAAACACTATTCGGCATCACGCAGAGGCTTACTAAACCTTTTCGTCAATAAATATACCCGTAAAAGGATTATGCGGGATAGCGGTAGGAAGCAATAACAATGTACAAACAGGGCTTTAGGATTGAAACCACAAATAATCTGAAATAAAAAACCTCCACACTAACACAAGCTTGTCTCGTTAGTTGTTTGGAGAATTCCTTATGTAGGTTTTGCTAAGTTTCTCAACGGCGTCGCACGGCGTTGGCAAAATGGCAAAACCCACATAAGGATACTTTTATCTCGTGAAAAACGTTACTTTCTGCTAACTATGGTTCCAACCACAATCTGAATGGCCTCCTCTGCAGAAGACCATTAGGATCGCAGGTTTGATATGTGTGGTGAAGCCGTTCAAAAACATAAATAAACAAATTGTATTATCGTAGGAATAGTATAAATTCGTTCCATGAAATAGAAAGTATATTGGTAAGTTTTCGTTAGATCATAGTCTAACTTCTTCACGCAAAATAAGTTATAACTTAATCGAACAACGAATATTAATAATGTTATTGTAAGCATACTTTCGTTTAGCTGCGATATCATTTTCTCCATATTAGTGTGAAAAGTGACTATTTTATTTGTATGCTATTGTTTTGTATTATAATGTTTACCTTCGTCATGACTCATGGCGTAAGAAATTCAAACGGCGCTGTCAGCAGTACTCTGTTGCATTCAAATAAACAACGTCAAACGTCAGCATTTAGACCACACAGTTCTTGCGGTCATACATTCCTTTTTTGAATGGTCATTTTGTTATTGTGAACTAGGAAAGATGAGAATAAACGTTTACGCTGGCTACCTTAGTTTTTTACGATGATAATGATTTTGAAATATATTGGTTAATTCTAGACATAACCGACTATTTTTGAACATGTTCTGTGTATACTCACTGCTTTCTACTGAAAATTCTCATAACGTGTCCATGTGTAGCAATAAATTTAAAATTAAATGATATTCATACCTTACTCGCGGGAGTTTTAACAATACGGGTCATATTTTCGACTGATGGCGAATGTCAATATTGGATTAGCAATGAATGAAAAAAAATGGTAACCTAAATAGTAAAATAAAATTTACATAAATTAGTCATATTTATTCTCGCTTTAGCATTCTTGCATTATACGTTTTCGTAAAGAACAACGCTTCCCTATCCGCGAGAAATTAGTGAGGAAATTTGTTGATTTCGGCGCGAATATACAAATATATTACCTCATCTTTAGTGTAGTTGTGCTGATAATATTCATACATTATAAACTATTTTAATGATACAAATACCAAAGTGCGAGTTGCGTTAAATGTAGCTGAAATACCTTCAAGGAATGAACAAATAACGAAAATTGGAGTTTTTGTGCATAGTGAGAGATGATTAAATAAAATGCTCCAGAATATGCTATAGCGGAAATTTATCGAAAATGGAACCACTGGCATAAAAGTTTAAAACTAAAAGAAAAATTGCCAAACTAAGGGGTCGGCTCTGATTGCAATAAAAATTAGGCTAATATGCGCACAACGGTTATACTCTAATGGTTATTATTTTCATTAATTCTCTTCTGCAACCCTTTGCTGTGAGTACGGCGTGCTACGATATACAGGGTCGGCTTTTATGTGAGGATACCGGTAGTTAGTTTAGCTCAGCCTTCAAATGACAGCTAACTTTACTTGTTTTTATTCGCAGTAAGTATCTATTTATTGCTTATAAAGCATCGTCACGCACATGTTCATATCAGATTAGAAAGAATGCGATGTCTATTAAACGCGACATTAGAATGCTCAATTTAAAGCCATTTTAATTTAAACAATATTAGAATTAGTGAAGGCTCCGCTAATGGCAGCGAAATATAATACCTATGCGGATTTATAGTTGTTCCTATGAGGAAAGATACAGAAAAGCATTGCTTGTTTATATTCAGTCGACTATTTCAGCAAATTTTAAGCAGTGATATTTGATATAGTAGATTTCTGAATTTCGAAAAAAAATCTGGGATATTCCCATTAGTAAATTTGTCGATGAATGTCAAGGGAGTTGTATCGTTTGTTCAATTTTGAGTTATGCTCGTGAGAGCAGGAACATATCCGTAATACGTGTTTAAATTGAATATTTCAGTAAATTTGAAGTTGTAACTTTTTCAATAATTTAGGATATTTCTATTAGAAAATTTGTCATAATAAGTAATGAATGTTTAGTAAAATGTATCGGCTATGCACTTTTAAGTTTGAGCTCGTCAGAAAAGGACATAGGGGTAATATGTGTTTAAATTGAAAGTCGAAAATTTTAATAAATTCGAAGTTGTGATTTTAACATAGTAACTTTTTGAATTTGGAAAGAATTTTGGATATTTTTGTTAGGAAACTTATTATAAGAGGCAATGAACGTTCAGTAAAATGTATCGGCGCTGCACTTTTAAGGGTACTTCCGTAGTATGTGTACCAGGTTAGGGTCAGGTTATAATTTTATTCCGATTTTCCTCATTTTAGTTCTATTACTAGTTCGGAAACTGTCTCTGTTAGCCAAGTGAACATACACCCTCCTCATAGGTTTCAGCCCCTTCACACAATTTGATGTAAAATAGGCAAACACACTTTTGAAGCGCCCTTTAAGTTATGCGAGTGAGAAAAGGAACAGAGGCGTAATACAATACGTGTTTCAATTGGGTCGAATATTTCAGTAAATTCGAAGTTGTAACTTTTCCAAGATTTTAGGATATTTTAATTAGAAAACTTGTCATAATAGGCAATAAATGTCAAGAAGAATGAATCGGTTATTCAATTTTAAGTTTGTGCTCGTGAGAAAAGGAACAGAGACGTAATACGTGTTTAAATTGTGAGTCGAAAATTCTTTTAAATTCGAAATATTAATACTCGACTATATCAGTATATAGACGTTACGCGAGACTCACAATCCTTCCTCAATGCCTTTGCGCTAGTGGATCCGTATGCGTGTGATGCAAGGGTGCTGTAGCATGAATAAACATAACGACCATACTTTGCAGTTCAAGAGTCCTGCTGTACACTAACACAAATGTATTTCTGTAACGTTTCGTCCGACCAGAGTCAAGACTTCCTCAGACAAGCAGTTTACAACAATGATCAGACGGAACAATGGTCAGACGAAACGTTACAGAAATACATTTGTGTTAGTGTGCAGCAGGGCTTTTGAATTGAATAGTAATTATTTATATTTCATACAGTAAATTTTGAAGAATATATAATCACTTGCAGTCATAGTAAATCAATCTTTTCAACTTTATAAATTCTGTAAACGGAGCAAAACGACGTTTATTTTTAAATACACTTCATTATCTCATGCTATGGTTTGTGTTTGTTGCCTGCTGGGTGTGAGTGTCAGGTAAAAATACCCAAACTACGAGTAAACTGTAAAGTCGCATCAATGTTAATCCGAATTATCTTTCACTAGAGTAAGTCATTTCAGTTTGATGAATCGAGTCTTTAATGAATGGTGACCCAAGCGAGAAATGAAGAGTTCCAAAACAGGGAAAAGGGGCGAAATGTATAAAGAAGGTTGATTACTAATGCCTTAGAATTTGATACTACCTTTAACTATTATGCATTTTTTACCGAACTCTTTTTAGATTGTAAAATGTAGTGAATTAAAATCATTTTTGTGGAATTAGACATGACTTGCATCACGATAATTGTCCTTATGCTTGCTGCAACTGCTCTCCATACGGCATCAGCACAGTTATTTTTAAAAGAAGGCATCGGTAAGTGTTGTATTTATTTTTATATACGCCTGCAATCTCGTCCGTGTTTAGCTCAGTAGCCATGCGCTGATATATTCAAATAAGGTATAAATATAATCACAGCCAGTGAATCTGATAGAAAATTAAACAAATTTTAATTCGACCAGCCATTTTAATAGCGACTTTTTGTTGGGCTGGGATTGGCTGTTGGATTATAGAATAGAGGGTAACTCAAAAACAGAACCCAATAAATTTTTATTTACCTCCACGAAAAGAAAGAAAATTTATTAAACGCTTGAACTTCTGTTTGTGTATGATTGTATCCCAAACTTTCTGTAAATTAGGATGCTTTGCACAAAAGTTAAGTTCTCTTTGAATAATGCATCGGCGTAGATAGGAGGGGGGGGGGGCTAAAGAGACCATGCCTCCCCGAAAAAAAAAAATTAAAAAAATTTTCTACATTTTCTAAAAATGTAATTCTGCGGCATTTGCGGTAAGACATAAATTCATACGTCTTTTCCGGCAGCATTTTACTCTATTCTTGCACGATTTACTGTAATTCAGACATTTCCTAGCTTGCTATCAATAATCTTTTCACCAAATGAACCAAACGAGATAGATGAGAATGCGTGCTTATGCATAAAACTACTTTATTTGTTCAATTGTTAATAGATACTTAGCTAGTGTTATGCACAAGTCACCCTCCCGTGCTTATACGGTTCAAATAGTTCGTGAATAAGTATTATCAAAGAATAAAGAATGTTGTTATTACTACGACATACAAAGCAAAATTCATCGCAAATTACTAAAAAATTCTTGTTATTTGGTTGGAAACGTTGCGTTAATTGAAAAAAAAAAACGCAAAATACGTCTGGTTTTCTGAATGCGTCCGTGGCTTGGTGTCAAAGGTCTGCAATTTTCTTAGTTCATCCTCACGAAAGCATAAGATTCCAACGTTAGGCACATTTTTGCAAAAGTACGCGCACAACTGAGCAAAACCCTAATTTCCTATCCCGCCGACAGCTGCAGAATCCATCACCCAACCACGAATATTTTCTCCAAATCGCCGCAAACCACACATAAAAATTAAAATCGATTATTATATTATATGAAGTGAATAAAGAGACAAAATAAATCGATGGAACGAGGGCTTTCCGGTTTATTGTTGACATATGTGACAATGTTTCATAAAAATGATGCAACCGCCATATTTACCGTTGATGTTTCAATATAATATCATAGATAATATCGTCATATATATCATTCCAATACCATATGATTACGTAACAATCTAATTTTTATTAGCAATAGTCTGGGCTGTGGCGAAGGAACAAAGGCCAAAAGGTGTCGTTTCAAATTCCCTAATTATAGACTTCTTAAAGTCGTAAGACCAAGCCAAGAGCATGTCTTTTTATAACAATTATTTGAAAACACCCATGAAGTTATGAAGTCAAATATTTCGGTGTTGGACACTCCAACAATAATAATAATGGAAAGTTATTACAGAAGTTGAAATGCGATAAATTCAATGACCCTTCTGCTGATATATTTTGTCTTGCAAACTTTTAAATCGTGGCTCCATGTTGGTCAATGGTATCTTTATGCACATATATATCCACACTACTTAAGCGACTTCTGTTTTGGTCGTTAATTCGTTATACCGTGTTTCCCGAAAATAAGACAGCGCCCTATTTCAATTTTCTTTCAGTCTCAGTAAATGCCCCGGCTTATCCATGGCAACAGAAAATAAAAAAAAATTAGTAACCAAGTAATTCATTCTATGATGCGCGATGACAAAATATTTTTTGATATTGTTAAATTTCATACGCTTTTTTGAATGTGATTATAGCAATATAGGGCACGTTATCGATCGCTTATAAAAAGTTTTGGCGAATCACGGCATATAATCGATTGCTCCTTGCAGCTAATAACGATGATGTAATTACGAAGTTCGTCTTTTCTAATGTACCTATATGTCATTCATCATTAAATATGATGTATTTATGATGATGTATAGTACATAGCGAATGCAAATTAAACCGAATTTACGAAAGGATTCTATTATTACCCGCTATCGCTGAATTTTATTGATTTCAAAATAAGCCCTCCCCTTAAAATTAGAACGCGAAATTTTTTCAACCTAGTCGATAGCAAGAAATCTCTCTTACACGTTTAAAATGATTATTAGGAGAGAATGGATATCGGTTTTCATGTTTTTTATATTTCAAAAACCTTGTAATTATATTTATTGTTATTTTGTTTTTGATAAATGAAAACAAAAGAAATCTCCCCAAAATAAGCCCTAGAGTTATTTTACGAAAGAAATGAGACCCTGTCTTATTCTCGGGGAAACACGTACACCTGAACTGATAAGAAAAATCAGACGGCGAGCCATGGCCTCCAGTCTAGTTGTTAACCCAAGTCAAATACGTGAATCTATGATTAATTTAGTGTTTTTAGTACAGTGGCTCGGGCTACGAAAAAAGCAGGTTAGTTAAACTCCCCTGCAAGGAGTCGAGCAATTCTCTCGTCAGTAATTACCTCCCAAGGGACCCAAATCTGCTAAACCACGTATCTATGTACTCCTTGAAGCCACGGAAAGATTGTTCCTTTCCCCAAGAACAGAGTGATGAACTGTCGTATTACATTTAAATCATCATTTCAGAACGTAAATTTAAGAACTAGAGCAGACATATCCAAACTGTGTGCCATAAAATAGGATAAAGTGTGCCGCGAACTTTTTTACAAATTAAATTTATATCGTACATCCGCGGTATTGAGCATTTATTCCACTAAATACTTGCACCATTCAGGACGTACAGCATAACGCGATACAACATGAGGTACATTCCTTTACCAAAATTGTTGCCACGTGTCAATTTGACAAAATGTAGATTTTACTGATGTGCCACAACACAAAACAGCATAAAAAACCACTGAACTATATGAATTAGCGTGAAGATTGGACGACAATCCAGAATTCAGTTGCAAAATAATTCACGTTTTGCTCAAAACGGATTTCTAAAAAAATTCGCAAATAGCAAGCTTCGGGTAAATGGAAGGTATCGGAATGAAAAGCTGGACCAATATCATATGAGCCAATGCCACTCGCACCCGAACGAACTCTTTTAACATTCATTGTTCCATTGACACGCGGCTGATGTAACAAATCTCGGCTCGTAAAGTTAAAAACTAAGCGTTTTAAAATATTCATTGTCCAAGAAAAATGCATACTTAGCATGAGAAAGTATAATCTCAGCATTAAAAATGCATCCGCTCGCGTGGTGGTAATCTTTTTTGCAAGACAATGCATACAGATTAATCAAATAGCAAACTGTTGAATTTGGAATCTTAATTCGCAAATTCATTGCTATTTGAAAAACTTACTAATTCCCTGAATCATAGATCATTACTTGGAGCAGAAGGAGACTGTCATAAATCTTCTATTCGTAAACGACGCATGTCAAATTATTAATATGACCAGCGTGATGTCATCAAAATCCCCAAACGTTAAAATAATTGCAGATAATGCTATAAGTAGGTATGTCCGTAAATTATAAAGTATACCTACAGCTCCCCAGTAACCTATTTCATCATCAATACTGAAAGTTTGTGATCGATTTTCCCAACTGCAACAATCACCCCTCAACAACAAAAAGAATTGAAGAAAACAATTTATATATATAGATCCAATCCGTGACCAAAAACATCTTTGTTTTTTAACAATTCAAAACAAAATCTCGATTGTATGTGGTTTCACGCATCGCTTTGTCGATTTAGAAACCAAATTCACGGTTTTCCTGCGACAAAACCGCAGCTGGTAAATCTCAGCGATCGGCAACCTGCGGCTCGGGAGCCGCATGCGGCTCTCTGTTCTCGGAACTCTGGCTCCAGTGAATCAAAGTGGTTACAGCAGTTTTTTGTTTGAAGCATCAGGGATTCGATGAAAAGGAAGGCATGAAGCGAAATACTCCTCACTTATAACACAACATTATAGCATCATGAGTGATTGTCCATAAGCTTTAAAAGCCACTGACATTGGTGTAGATGTGGCGGCTCCGAATAGGTTTTAGTTTGATTGAATGAATGCTAAATGACTCTTTCAATGCTAAAAGTTGTCGAACCGCGGACTCTAGCTCTACTTCTTTGTGCGTATCTAAAATTCAATTAATGTGCTTTAAATTTATTTTTATTTAGAATGTCAACGACTGAAGACGACATTATTACAATGTGGCAACTACAGTATTGAACTGAAACCGAAAAAAGAATGGAGCGGATATAATTATTTCGTTCTGACACAATGGCCTTTGCCAAAGGACACAGATGAATTGAACATTCGAAATGAAAAACAAATGGCGGACAATACTTTGGACTATAAATGGAGGATTAATATTACTAAACTTGAAAATTTCAGCGTTACTCATATATTGTTTTCAACCAAGGGAAGTTTTGATTACTTTGAAGAGAACCCAGACTTACGCACAGTTGAGTACATCAGCGACGACATTGTGACGTCATTTTACTCGTCATATACTTCGAGAAAAATAGGAAAACTAACAAGAGTTTTCATTAAAAATGGAATAACTATAAAAATCACCATAAACATGTTGGACGACCGTAAAATATCAAAATTTGCGAACGATAGATATATTGGCGTTCGCAATTCAACTGAGCTTAGCTGTGTCCAGTGGCAGGAAAAATGGACTTCGAATGATTGTGAAGTAGTAAACCACAATTTAAGCATTGTTACATGTGAATGTAAATTTAACGACGTCACAATGCCAAAAATTGCCGCCAAAACTACCATGGAAGCGTTGCCGCATTCAAGAGCTTTAGTTCCACTGAACTTTGGAACCACTCTCATAGCGACGTGTTTTTTTATTGCTACGTTTCTCCTTCTACTGCGATTTAGAAAAGCACTGAAAGACGGTAACAAGCGTTTCGAGATACAAATGAATCTTACTACGTCATTACTTTTGCGACATACATTTCTCACAGCGGGAGTCGGGGTCGCGCTTCTTGATCCGCTCGATAGAACGTTCTGCGAGGCAGCAGCAGCGCTACACTTGTACTTTCTGATGACGTCTGTATTGTGGGTACTTATGGAAGGTGTAATGATATACCGTAAAGTATGCCAATCATCATTAAACTTTCCTAAAAAGCATTTATGTATAGCAGCAAGCCTTACCTGGGGAGTACCTTTGGTCCTGATGACTGCAGTCGCCGCGCTTGAACTTTCAAAGGACAGATTCATCAAGGCTACTGAACCGTATCGGGTGATACAGGAAAGACTAAAAACCGCCCACAATAATTCGAACATTATTGAATCTGAACTTTTGAAATACAAGAAGTATGATTTTTGTTGGACGACATCAGAGTTTGCATCTTTTGCTTTGGGTATTCCAGTTACATTATCCCTATTTATTAACACTGTCATATTAGTCTGGGTAGGAATAGTAGTTTGGAAGATAGGATCCGCAGATAGGAAGAATCTGCCTTCCAGTTCCCCGATCGGGGGACAGAGCAAGCCTCTTGCTACCAACAGACAGACAATGGTTACATTTCGTGCTGTGGTAATTCTGACAGCTGTTTTGGGAATTCCTTGGCTTTTTTCACTGTTATACAACATTGCTGATGGAATAGAGAAAAAAGAATCTCTAGCCCCATCTTTCGTTCATTCTATTTTTATATTTTTACAAGGTCCTTTATTATTTTATCTTTATTGCGTTCAAAATCAAGATTTTCGGCGAGTTTTCAGACGTAAAATTGAGACTGAAATAGCGAAGCGAAATATTTTAACTAAGAAGTCGACAAATTCTAATCCCTCTATTGCACCGTGACATTTTATTAACAAATTGAGTTCCTATCATTCCTTTGAAATTTGCTTTTTGTGAATATATATCATGAAGTGGACACAGTTTCGATGCTGCTAAAGGCTTTTACTCGATTGAGTGAATTAAAAAAGTTCTCCATGATTACCTATTATGTTGCAAATCGTATAGCTTTTTTCTTATATTTATAATTTCAAAAAACCACAGTCAGTCCTAAAAATTAAAAAAAAATGTGAATTTGGCCAGAATGCCATACAATAGTTCATATTGATTCTATAGATCTCATTTTGTGTCAATACGGACTTCAAGGATTTCAATATATTGATATTCTCATCCACTGATGGCAAATAGTTACGCTGAAATCTTCTCTTGCATCTATAATGTATGTACGCCCAAATGAATACCAAAGATCAGGAATATTCAACTTATTTCATGTAATGTCTTTCTACCTATGTTTTATTTTTATCTTTTGTTTCAAAGAAGATACTGGGCCTCTGATTTTCATGATTGTGCTCTGCATCAACTATCCAGCAAGCTCAACTGAAAACGGTGCAGCTGTCAAATAACGTTAAACTTCATTTTGAAGTGTAGAAAATTGTGTCGTTTATTCCTTATTGCACTGCTTAAAAATTTATCACTGTGAAATTTATTATTCTTAAAGACTAGACCGGACCAGGGTTGTGCTGTAAGGACATAATTTGCAATCAACTCCCGCCCGACTCGGGATTGAGAACCAATATATTTCGGGAATATCGATTCCGAACTGCTGATGTCATATTTTGTTGATAAAAACTGGCGTGTGCTGGGGTAAGAACGTACAAAGAACACTGTACTCTGTAAGAACGTTTCGTCAACTCATGTTTTCTTAGCTTCTGTAAGACATTTATATTTTGATTATATATCACCATTAAACTTCTTGCCATATCAACTCCGACGAGTTTAAATATACAATTCTGACTCAGATAAAAATATATCGAACTATGACTTCCTACTCCACATCTCAGGACCAAAAAATAGGGGGGGGGGAGATTTGGTATGAATTTGGAATCGAGCCGTTCAAAATGTCCAAAATACTTGAAAAGGCTGAATCGATAACAATGCCGACGTGCGTGATTTCGCATGCGTTTAGAATTTTTGAGTATTTAAACAGCATTTCATGAACACTGGGTAACTGGCAATAGTTTTGTATTGGGTTATCTTAAAAACTTTCAGCTGGGGGTTCTCATGTGAAACGATTCCAAAAACACTTCCCAAAAACTTTCAACACTTATGATACACACAGGATGAGGCCTAGCCAGGGTTGATCTCGCACCCCCTTTTGAAATTTTCTGTATCATATATAGCAATTAACGTAGCTTGAAATCCTTTTTAGACCACCAAAACCAGGGTGTTCCAAGGTTGTGGGCTCCGCGGGCCACAAAATTATTTTGGCATTGATCGCGGGCCACAATAGTACCAAGAAGAGGTAAACAGTGCAATACAAAACAAGCACTTCTATTGTGTAAACACATAGTTATCTGGCATTGCCAACCTAGGCTAATGGAATCCGCATTCGATTTTTTAGTTTTTATCATGCCTATATTGTAGCATATATTCCCGACCAAAACGATAGAAATCCAGGTAACAATTTAGACTGCCAATCACATAAATGATGATTGATTGATTCAACTTTGCTAGTTGCTTCAGCTAGCCATCATACTAGTCAATTCAGTTGCAATAGTGATATAACAACAATATGTCAAACGATTTTTCTGACTTATTTTATGAGAAGAACTTAAAATACGATATTTTGATTACTCTCCGAATGCGGCGCGGGCCACAGATAATGAAGCGGCGGGTCACATGTGGCCGCGGGCCTGGGTTTGGACCACCCTGATCAAGACTTTTAAAAACCCACGTTTTCGACCCTCTAGCTGTTATGTTCTAACTTGGCATTTGCAAATTCCAGAGCCCAATTCATGGCTACGTCCTTGAAAATTTTACATAGCGTTCGTTCATAAATGAAATATGGTCACGCTCTCGAAATATTTTTGTGCTGTATTACCATACCTACATGCCAGGCTCCGTGTCCCTGATTCTTGGCTGATAAATTAACAATATAATTTGTCGTAACTATCAGTTGGGGTTATGCGAGATTAAACGTTACAGAAATATATTTGTGTCAATTTGCAGCAAGACTCTTGAATCAAAACAATAATTTAGGCAAAAAAAATTTAATTTAGAGGTAATTTATAAGTAAGGCTTACCATACGTCCCGGTTCAGCCGGGACAGTCCCGGTTTTGACAAGCTGTCGCGCACGGTAGACTTAAATGTCCCGGTTATATAGCGTGGCAGTCAATAAAAAAATTTTCATATAATATTATTACAAATTTATTTTCTAAACGGAAGCATCCAATTTATCTCTAATTCACTAGTTAACAGAGGGAGAGAGAACTGCTGTTTTGTTGTGTCATAGGTATTATAATTATGTTAATTGCACACAACGTTAACTGACCTGTCGATAAATTACCAAAATTCCAAATGGATGCGTAGAAAGACACGGGGCAACAATGTTTTTTTCAAACTCAAAAATAAAAAGAGCCTGACATAGGATTTGCGGCTCATTTACCTTAAAACTGAATTCAACATCATTCCGTGGATACTTTGCCCGATTGAGTAGAAAGTCTTGTAGTCAAAATGTATAATTTTGAGCAGAGCAGAGCAGAAATCATTTTGCAATTTGTCATTATGTGTACAACTATTGCAGTGTGGCAACCGCAGGTGTCTCTCTTATGTCGATTATTGAAATGTTCAAATAATTGACTGCTTTTATAAATAATGTTTGGCGACTGCGCGTACGAATTAATTTATAGCTAATTTAATGCCTGGTATCTACTCAAAGTTATGATAGAAGATTCAGATATTACTTAGCCTCAGAATCGAACCAAAGTTAGTTCGATCCGCACTGTCCTGGTTTTTTATTCCAGATATATGGTAAGCCTATTTAAAAGTGAATAAGATATGAACACAAACTTGAATTTAGGCTAATCAGAGTTGAAAAAACAAACTTACACTGTTTATCTTTGTGAATATGTTCCACTTTTTCTACGTTACAAATGGGTAAAAATTACTTTTAGCTTATATTCGTTCTTAAATATATACAAAATTATTCGTTCAGCGTATTAACGAGTCTTTATTCTAGTTTAATCAGTTTTGTGGTAATAGTTATGCTTAATATCGATAGCTCGAAAGTTTTAGCAGTTTTTCTTTTGGCAGACAATTCCTTGTAGCGTGCTTAGATGCCTATTGTACATTCCTTGCCTCTGATGACTAACGTCTGACCGTACAACGATGCCCATTCCTACTCTTCCACTGTCGTTTTTTGGGTAGTTTGAATACCATTTAACGAACGGTGCACTTGTTCCATCTGACAAAGTAACATCTCTGGTCTGTGAAATAATATAGGACAAAACAACTTTAGAGTGAATGAGCTGGTAGGAAGAGGACCATGAGGTGGATGAATTAACCACTTTTCGATTAATTATACATTTTTGATTAATGACTCCAATTACATACAAAATATTCTTTCATATTTATTTAAACAATATAAAAGGTAAAGGATGCATTACCGAATGATTAAATGTCATTCCTGTGAATATATCGGCATATGAAGCCTCTGTAGGTATTTCAGCTCTCACACATTCCATGATTTTGTAATAATGATTTTCACTTGGAATTTCCGCCGGTTCCATTCCATGCATTCGACAAAAACTCAATGTGTTTGAATACTTAACATCGTACTTTGGGTGCACAAGTGCTCGGTAGCAAGTTCCCTCGTATTTCATTTTGCATGCTATATGAGTAAAGACAACTCAATTATTGATTATTCGTAGTTTCAACTCGGTAAACTACCAGAAAGACCTGACTCGAGATTTGTTGCAACAATAACTCAAAATAGGACGAAGTCGTGTACATTGTAAAATTCTAGTTTGCATTTCAGAATACCGTTGGTTAATGCTAGAATTCAGTTGTTCTCAAACTTTTCAAGCCGCGCCCCTTTCTCAGAATTTTTCAAGTTTCGCGACCCACCTTAAAAAAGCTACGAAAAAAAAGGTAATGAGTCAAAAGATAATGAGTATGTTTTATTCAAAAACACTTCTAAAATATGTGGATGGAAGGTAAATATCCAAAATAGGGCAGGCGAGGTCAAATCTTACAAATATTTTCATTTTTAATTAGCTTCACGACCCTCAAAATTGGCTACGCACCACCGTTTGAGAACCAATGTGCTAGATGGACGTTTTAATTTCATATCATAGTATTTATCTACTCCACTAATGTTCATGAAATCTGCTATGACTAGGAATTTATTTGTAACTCGGAATATCAGTGACTCGGCTTTTTATGGGACTCAGACTTGCCTCGAGAGTCGGATGTCTAGAACCGGAGTTATGTGACTTGTACTATGCGCATGGGTCAGCATTGTAACAATTATACTTGCAATGAACACTCGGCATTGGTATATATATATATCGTAAAAAACAAATAATTTACCTGATTTCACTTCTAAAAGAATCCCGAGAACAGCACTAACATAACCAAGCTTTGATTCCGTTGATTCCAGTCTCTGTGTTAGTTCTCGAGTAGCTGAATAACAAAAACATTATATTGTTTGATGGTTTATATTCATCAATCGTCATTACTTTCAAAAATTTGAGCAAACACGCGAAGTGAACATTGTTACTTGACGCTTTTTTAATGGTTCTCAAGTTATTCTCTTCAAAATTGATGCTCGCAGACCATTGCCGGAGTGAGAAAAAGTTGAAACATGGGTCTTTTTGTGTGTGTAACACTCAGCGAACTGTCCGAGTGATGGATTCTACGTTTTCAGTAATTTATGTGTCTGAACTCTGGAGGAACCATTACAATAAAAATATCTGCATACGATTACAATATCTTCCAAGTACTCGAAATTCGATTTGTAAAAAGATACGATTCGATTCTAAACTCATTCGGTATTTAAAAATGCCCGGCCCTAGTCGTAATGCGTACCTGATTCTACCTCCTGTTTGATAGTTTCCTGAATTCTGGATTGATTGACAAGTCCATCGTGACCTTTGACTCCGGGAAGTCCTGTTTCACCTTTATTTCCTTTTTCGCCTCTCGGGCCTAACTTACCTGGTGGCCCATGTAAATGCTGTCGCATATCGTCGGCGCATGCGTCTTCTACTGGACGACAAACCATGTTGTTAGCAAAGCAGCTGACCAGTACGAAACACGTGACCAGTATAATTAATTCAAGGTGACTCATTTTGAACTATTTGTAAAATGCAAAAAAGTAAAATATATAAAAATACTTGGTTGCAGTGGTGATGTTTAAGAAAGGATTCTCTTTTGTATTGAATTCTGGGCACTCCCGAAGTATGTGAACCAAGATGGCGGACACCGGAACGTAGTATGTAGACCTGGTTGGGGTTAGGCCATACTTTTATTCCCATTTTCTTTATTTTACGACTAGCCAAGTGACTCCCGTAGTATTTGTACGTGAAATTATGGCCTTGCATTATTGCGGTGCACCTAGCCCCAGTACCGTGGTAGTCTAACGTCTAAATCAAAAAACAAGAACGCTGCCACTGTATATAGCACAAACATCGCATATATAAAAATGACTAAAAACACAAGCGCGTATTGTATACATACAGTACAGTATTGTACAGTAAAATTACACAACAATTAGGAAACTGCAGATTCCACGCCAAAAATAACTTCATTAATGTATTATATATTTTTCAGACGTCTTCAAAATTAGAGCTATGATTTCCAGCAGTACGTCTATCTGTTAATGTGCTTATCTGTATGGGATTCAAAATCTTAAGAGCGGGTTTCCAAGAATTCCGTTCCAAGACTAGCCTACATTCCGTTAAGAAACATTTTT